CCCAGGAGCACTGTGTTCTTTCCTTTATTTCTTCTTTTCATTCACTCACTACATAGCCAAGGAGGGCTTGAGCTTCTGAAGCTTCCAGTTTATGTGGTGTTGGGATCAAGCCTGGGACCCCATGCATGTTAGACCCGCAGTCTACAGAATGAGCTATAGCCCAACCCCATTTCATGTATTTTTTAAAATTTATTTTTATTCTATGTGCATTGGGGTTTTGCCTGCATGTCTGTGTGAGGATGTCAGAAGGCCTGGAACTGGAGTTACAGACAGCTGTGAGCTGCCATGTGGGTGCTGGGAATTGAACCTGGGTCCCTTGGAAAAGCAGACAGTGCTCTCAAGTGCTGAGCCATCTCTCCAAGCCCCCTATTCCATGTATTTCTGCAGAGGCCAGGGATGGCAAGAGACCTCTGCAGGAATGGGGAGGTCGATCTGGCAGGATCGGTGTTCCTACTTACATTAGACATGGAAACATCTACGGAGTGCACTTCTTAGGTGAGGTGGGAGTCCAGCTTGGTTAACAAAGCTTTGAACAGTCCAGGGACACCGTCATAAAGAGCACCCAGGGAGGGAGGCTGTATGAGAAGTAGAAGGACAGGTGTGGTGGCACACACCTTTAATCCCAGCCCTGGGGAGGCAGAGGCAGGTGGATCTCTGTGAGTGTGAGGCCAGCCTGGTCTACAGAGAGAGTTCCAGGGCAGCCAGGGCTATTTAGAGAGACACTGTCTCAAATAAATAAATAATAAATAAAAGAGAAATAGAAAGTCACAGCTGAAGGACAAGGAGGCACCGGGCCCTGAAGAGCAGAGAAGAGCATTCTAGGGTAGGGACAAACACGCAAAAGACCTGAGGCTGGATGGTGGCTTCTTGGTGCCTTTGGAGAGCTGAAATTAGCCGGAGAGACTGGCCTTCCATAGAACTATCAGCAAATAGATGTCTGGGATTCCCGCAATAGTCTTACCATCTATGAGCATGGTGAGTTTGAAGAACTGATATACACCCACTATGTCCTTGTTTTCCCTTCCCCAGTGTGTACATTACCTCTGTGTAGGTTGTTGTTGGGGAATATTATTTTAAGGTGTGTTACTTTTGTTTATGTGGCATTTGTTTAACTCTGTGAAGCTGTGTTACTTTGCCTGTGTAAAACACCTGATGGTCTAATAAAGAGCTGAATGATCAGTGGTGAGGCAGGAGAAAGGGTAGGTGGAGCTGGCAGGCAGAGAGGATAAATGGAAGGAGAAATCTGGGAGGAAGAAAAGAGAAGTAGCTAGAGAAGGAGGAGGACTCCAGGGGCCAGCCACCCAACTCCTCAGCAGCCCAGAGGCAAAAGTAGATGGGATAAGTTAAGGAAAGCTGGCAAGAAATAAGCCAAGCTAAGGCCAGGCATTCATAAGTAAGAATAAGCCTCCGTGTGTGACTTATGTAGGAGCTGGGTGGCGGGTCCCCAAAAAGAGAAAAAAAATAAACAACAGTAGGTGGCTGACAGATTCATCCCACAGGTCAGGTGGCAATCCCAGATCCACCCTGTGCTGCCTGAGGACCCTGTCAACAACGGTCTCCTTCTCCATCTGTAACAGGAAGTAAGAATGGCAATGCCGATGAGTTACCAGAAGATTCTGCCATTAGTAAGTGCGAGGACAAGGGCTGAAGAGCTTGCCCAGTCGGTTGCCTGAAGACCAAGTTCTGTCCTCAGCCCCCACATAAAAAGCTGGGCCTGGGGGCTGGAGAGGTGGTTCAGCGGTGAAGAGCACTGACTGCTCTCCCAGAGGACCTGGGTTAAATTCCCAGCACCCACATGGCTGCTCACAACTGTCTCTAACTCCAGTTTCAGGGGATCTAACACCTTCATACCAACACACATAAAATAAAGTTAAATAAATTAAAAAAAAAAAAAAAAGCTGGGCTGGTGCGCACACGTAATCCCAGCACTGGGCAGGCAGGAACAGGATGAGCCTTAGGACTGCCAGACCAGTAGCCAAGCCTGATCAGTGAGCTCTAGTTCCAGTGAGAGATCCTGCCTCAAAAAACAAGCTGCCGGGCGGGTAGTGGCACACGCCTTTAATCCCAGCACTCGGGAGGCAGAGGCAGGCGGAACTCTGTGAGTTCAAAGCCAGCCTGGTCTCCAAAGCAAGTTCCAGGAAAGGCGCAAAGCTACACAGAGAAACCCTGTCTCGGAAAAAACAAACAAACAAAAACAAAAAAAACCCAAACCAAAAAACAAGCTGGGTGGCGTCTGAAGACCAACACCAGAGATTGACCTCCGGCCTCCATGTATGCAAGCATTTACACACACACACACACACACACACACACACACACACACACACACACACACACACACAGAGATAAATACATTTCCTATAGACAAAGGAAGCACCCACTTGATGCCTCCTTCCCTCCCTCTGCCAGATGATCTCTTCTCGGACTGGCTACCCTTCCTTCCTCCCACCTTCTCCTCCATCACAAGCCAGCTCACCTCTCACCTTGGTAACATTTAGAGAAGAACTTGTCTGCAGCTTGGATGCGGGGCCCAGCACATCCTCACATCTTCAGGCATCCATCGCAGAGATCCAGGGATGAACCTTGGACTAAAACTCCTGCACACCTTTAAACATTTTGCCTTTTGCATCTATACTCAACAGTTTGGCTGAAAATTAAGCTCACTCACACACACACACACACACACACACACACACACACACACACACACACACGTGTGTGTGTGTGCGCGCACAAAACTTCATAGGTTTTACTCTATTGTTATCTTTTCTTTCTTTCTTTCTTTCTTTCTTTCTTTCTTTCTTTCTTTCTTTCTTTCTTTCTTTCTTTCTTTCTTTCTTTCTTTCTTTTTCTTTTTTTTCGAGACAGGGTTTCTCTGTGTAGCCCTGGCTGTCCGGGAACTTGCTCTGTAGTCCAGGCTAGCCTCGAACTCACAGACATCCCCTGCCTCTGCCTCCTGAGTGCTGGGATTAAAGGTGAGCGCCATCACTGCCCAGCCTCTGTTATTTTCTAACACCGGATGCTGCCATGAAGGAATCTGAGGCCAGCCTGTGGTTTCCCACTTGCCTTTTGTCACTTGTCCTTTTCGTTTAAGGGGCCAAAGGATTATTTCTTAGCTTTATAACCTCATAACTTTTTATTACAACCAACTTTCCTGAGTCTCATTAACTTGTCCGTACACCTCCCTTTTCTCTAGAACGTGTTCTTTGTGTCTTAGGGTATTTATTTTATGTTGTCTTAGTTGACTCCTTCAAAGACTTCTTTTTTTTTTTTTTTTTTTTTTTTTTTTGGTTTTTCGAGACAGGGTTTCTCTGTGTAGCTTTGCGCCTTTTCCTGGAACTCACTTGGTAGCCCAGGCTGGCCTCGAACTCACAGAGATCCGCCTGGCTCTGCCTCCCGAGTGCTGGGATTAAAGGCGTGCGCCACCACTGCCCGGCTCTTCAAAGACTTCTTATGCATGCATGAGCCACGTTAGGTCTTTGTCACTGTAACGAAACGCCCAAGGCAGGCTACTTTATAGAGAAAAGAGGTTTATTTACTTCACAGTTCTGGAGAGCATGACACAGACTCTGGTGAGGGTCCCCCTGGAATATGTCACATCATGAGAGAAACACCGACTCTGCCTCTGTGTCACCCCTCCCCCTCTCCTTGTGAAGCCACCCGGATCCAGTCAGCAGGAGGAGGAAGCTGCAGCTGCTAGTCTTTGCTCACAAGCGTCAATCATTTACAGACAGTTATCCTCTGAGACCTGTCCTCCAGAACCCAATCGCCATCCACAAGCCCCACAGCACCCCACACTGTTACCTCCAGCAGGTGTGCGGCCACTCAAAGCTTCCCCCAACCACGGCCATCTTTTTCTCTCTTGTCAATTAAACCTCTAGCTGTTCGACTTCCTTTCCGGTCCCCTGGGGGCCGGGATTGAACTCAGAGCCTCACTCAAGCTATGCAAGCCCTCTACCCCTGCACTCTACTTCCAGCCCGCTTCCTCCTGGCTTTCCTGTTTTTCCCGGCTCCTTTGGGCTTGTGTTTTGGCAGTTTTATTTTGTGCTACTTTTACTCCGACTTCCCTTCTGCAGTGTCTGTCCTCTTCCTTCCGCACTTTCCTGAGACCCTTTGTTATCTTGTTATTATCTCGGTGAGCTCTCCCATCGAGCAAGCGCTTCAGTCTAGGCTTTGGTTTTGTTTCTGCACCAGCGCCCTGTGTTTATTTGGTTGGTTGGTTCCTCTCTCCATCTCCTTGCTTGACTTTGCCCTCCTTGGCTCTTGTATCGGTGTTCAGATCTGGAGGTGGTTCGCTGTTGATTGCTAATATTTGTGGGATGTGAACTTTCTCTAGGCAAGCTTTGGCAAGAGGTCGTGGTGGGGAGGAACCAGGGCTATTTTGGGATAGGGGAATTTTCCTTTTCCGTGTGAATTCTCTGAGCCTTTGCTTCCCCACAGGTAAATGACTACTTGCAGTTGAGAACCCTGCTCCTCCCTACACCTCAGTTGCCTGGGTGTGATTTTTATTTTTATTTTTTATTTTTATTTTTATTTTTATTTTTTTTTTGGTTTTTCGAGACAGGGTTTCTCTGTGTAGCTTTGCGCCTTTCCTGGAACTCACTTGGTAGCCCAGGCTGGCCTCGAACTCACAGAGATCCACCTGGCTCTGCCTCCCGAGTGCTGGGATTAAAGGCATGCGCCACCACCACCCGGCTATATTTTTATTTTTTTAAGATTAAACGAATTTGAACTGTGTGTGTGTACGTGTGTTCGAGTGCATGTCTGTGTCTGGTGTGTTCAAGTGCATGTCTGTGTCTGGCGTGGGTTTTTGCATGTTAGTGCAGGGCCCATGGAAGCTGGAAGAAGGCATTGGATCCTCTGGAGTTAAAGGTGATTTTTGAGGCACTCAACATGGTTTCTGGAAACCAAACTTGGTCCCCTTGTGAGATTGATGTAAGTTCTTCACCCTTGAACCATCTCTCTAGTCCCTGGACAAGCTTCTTTAAATGCATGTGAGA